TTAAATAATTAGATATGATCAAAGGATTGGAAAGAAATAAAGAGATCCTTCCCCCCCTTTTTTTAAACTGCAAGAAAAACAAAAAGAATGGATAATAAGCTTTAAAAAGAAAAAAAAAGTGATATATAATTAAAAGGGAAAAAAAGGAAAAAAGAAGTGAGAAGAGCTACTTAAATTTGGACTGGACTTTAAATGTGATTTAATATTTTTAAACTGAAAAAGAAAAAGAGAAGCTAAGTAAGATCATGATGTAATTGCAACAAAATGGATACTTGTTAAGCAATTGGAAATTGTGGATTGTAGAGAGACACCATCTGGAGTAAAAAGGAATTTTGCAACTTGGTTCTTTGTTTTGCAAAATTGTGGACTTCACAGATAACAACCGTGAGAATTTGTGGAGGAGGATTTTCTTGTCTACAAGAGGTTTGACTTTTGGAGGAATAAAAAAAGGAATAGAAGGGAACACAATGGAACTTGTATAATTGGAATAATTATTTGACTTGGAGAATGGAAATAAGAGCAATAACTATAATGTGGCATAAAGGACAAAAAGTCGATATAAAAATTGAAATGGAGTATACATGAGTGGACAAGAAAATGAAGATGGAGAAATAAGACATAGAAGTGGAAAATAAAGAAGATAAAGACATTGTGATAAATATGAATAAATAATTGAACAGGTGAATAGCAATAATAAAAAGGAGGTCTCTAGAGATTATATTGAGATTAACAATATCATAATGATGATTATATTGAGATTAATAATAATATGATGATTACATGGGAGTTAATAGTGAATGTTAAAAGAATAAAAGGTTGGAAAATATTGAGGAAATTAAAAAGTCCAGGACTTGGATTTATAAAATGACTATACTGAGATTAATAAATATGAGAAGAAATATGTTACAGACATTTAGAAATGAAATAGAGATTGAAGCTAAAATATATGTAAATTAGACTATACTAAAAGAAAATATAGCAATGGACATAATGAACCAATTTTTTATTAAGATGTTAGAAGGTACTACTTGAGAAAATTGATGGTATAATAATTGGGATATTGTTTAAATACCTATAACAATTGTTATAATTTGAATACTTTTAATAATATATATATAAAAGTGAAAGATGATTATGCTGGGATTAAGAGAAAAAGATAATTGCACTGGGATTAACAGTGGAACAAAGATGATTACACTGGGATTAACAGTGAGAAAAATAAAGATGATTACACTGGGATTAGCAGTGAAAGAAATAAAGATTACACTGGGTTTAACAATGGAATAAAGATGAGTACACTGGGATTAACAATGGAAGTATAAAAGGAAAGGTTAAATTAGAAAATTGAGCTACAATAATTGGGATATTGCTTAAATATGTATAACAATTGTAATAATTTGAATATTCTTTACTTAAGTAAAAAAGAAAACAAAATTGAAACAATATATGATTATGATTTTTAAACAAAAATTACTTAATTGGTGTTATATAAATGATATGGTTTAATAGGTAGAATTTGGGATAATTGGGAAATTGCATTAAATAGCATTATTTGAATTAAGAACTATGTTTAAATGTTAAATTGCTATATTTTTAAGATTAAAGATAAGATTTAAATTTGATAAAGTAATTATGGAATAAAGATTTAATCTGCATTATGAAATATGAATATGTTTGAACTGTATTGAACTGTATTATGAGTTATTACTTGAATTAAGATTTAAGGTGGGTTAATAGAAGGGTAACTGTTTGAATTAGTAAATATGTGTTAATTTTTTTAAAAAATGGTATTAGTTGGATATGTGATTTAAGATTAAGAAATAAGTGTTATGGCAAAATAGAATAGATAAAATTTGGTTAAAGATGACAAAAAATTGAACAAATTGATGACCGGATCAAAGCTCTGTTCTGAAAAGATGTAATTTGTATGTTTGGAAAAAAAAATAAAAAAAACTTTTTGAACAAAAAGAAAAGAGAGAGGGGACCCTAATATCTCCGGCTCTAGTGGGTATGGTTTATGTAATCGGGAAGAGATGGTTAATTGAATCATGGTTGTTAAAGTGAATCTGGCTTCGCCAATGACTTTGCTTGTCAGAAGGTTGCAAGAGGCGTTCACATGACCCTGGAACACTGCAACTGTCATAAATACATGCTAGTTGCCAAGTGTCCACATTTTGATCACGTGACCAGGGGGATGCAGCAATGGTTGTAAGTATGAAAAAGTCATGTCATTTTTTTTCTGTGCCGTTGTAACTTCGAACTGTCACTAAATGAATAGTTGTAAGTCAAGGTCTGCCTATATCAAGATCAGAGGGTCTTGCACCTTGATGAAACTTGAGGAAATGTCTCTGACAGGCCCCACCCCAGTGGTGAAATCTGGCCAGATCTATCCAGCTTGTGCAAAACGGTAGTGCCAGCCGTGGGAGGCTCCGCCCACCCATCAGGACGTCATTAGGTCCCGTTTTTTACCCTCTGCGCATGTGCAGAAGGTACGCACGTGCGTAGCGCACTCCTGTTCCTGAACCGGTAGCGAAGGTAAATGGATTTCACCACTGCTCCACCCGATTCATCCAAAGATAAAGTAAGAGCCAGGTGTGTGGGTGTGTGGGGGGCAAGCACAGTTGAAGTGACAGGAATCTGTTGCCGTAGCTGTCCCAGCAGAAATAGCCCTGATCTACCTGGTGTCGCTTTCTTAGTCTGGTCTAGCGGACCCTGATCTTGAAGTCACCCTACACAGAATTATGATTCAGAGGTATTTTCAGTAGATATGTGAGTGGTTTACTTGGACCGTGAGTGGTTTCCAGTGCCAGGAAGATGTTGGCCTTGGATGGGGAAGAATTGGCTTTGGCTCGACCCTGGCAAAGCTGAATGGCAGTGGGCTTTCTGTGTTCTGCCATCTGTAAATCCAACTGGGAGATCAGTCAGAGCTGGTGAGTCATCTGGGACTTCTTCTGGCCTCTTGGCATAGCAGGTGGCAGCCCTGGCCAGGAGGCCTTGGCACAGATTCCCAGGCCAGGAGACCTGCTGCTTACGATCATGCCTGGTTTACTGTTTTCATTGGTTGTTTTTTCTATATTTGCTTTCTTTGCTACTCAAGCTATAATAAATATTTTTTTAAACGAAGTGTTCTCAATCTATACATAATAGATTTATGGGGAAATCCTTTAATGTTAATGTTAAATTATGTTCCAAAACTTTTGGGTTTGACTTTTTGAGGAATTACGTTTGTATCAATTCCAAAGGGCTTCTAAGAGAATTATTTTGAGAAAAGTAAAAAATAATAGCACTCCTGAGATGCATAATTTATTTAGTTTTGAAAAAGCAATCTTATCTATAACCAAAAATTGAGATAATAAATTCTCCTTTGGTATAAATGCTATGACATTTTGTAACAATAATGTACTATTATTTATTTCCTTTAATGCAGATTTAGAAACTTTTGTTCCATATTGAATGGATTTCTAATATGCATATATAGTTTCCTCCTTTTTGCTGCTTTTTATTTGCGTTTAGAGTAGAGTAGAATAGAATAGAAGAATAGAGTAGAGTAGAGTAGAGTAGAGTAGAATAGAATAGAATAGAATAGAATAGAATAGAATAGAATAGAATACAGAGGTGTCAAACTCGATTTCATTGAGGGTCACATCAGGGTTCTGTTTGACCTTGGGAGTGGGGGGTGGAGGGCATGGCCAAGGTGAGCATGACCAGGTCATCGTCATTCGTGTTGGGGGCGCCTGTGGTGGCCTGAATGCTCTGCCAGCGAAATTGGGCTCCTGAGCTCCGTTTTCAGTTGCGATGGCCTCCTGCAACCCTCTGCCAGCAAAAGCGGAGCTCGGGAGAGCTGTGCATGGCCCTCCCGAGCTCCGTTTTCTCTGGCAGAGGCACCACGGGCCAGTCCTTCACTCTTTCCAGGGCAAGCCTGCGGGCCAGATCTAAGCACCATATGGGCCAGATCCAGCCCTTAGGCCTTGAGTTTGACACCCTTGGAGTAGAATAGCAGAGTTGGAAGGGATCTTGAAGGTCTTCTAGTCCAGCCCCCTGCTCAGGCAGGAAACCCTATTATTTTATAAGTTATGGTTATATACTATATAGTACAAATTACATAATATATAGGTTATATAATACATGGTTATATTATAGGTTACTATTATCACTCTCTTTGTTCTAGTCCTGTGCATTTCTTAACTTTTTTTTAAAAAAGCATTAAAAAGGTTTCAGAAAGGGGAGGGCAATGAACCCTTGGCTGCACCTGGCTGCACCAGCTTGCAAGTCATAGCGCTACATAACGGTCGGCTGCCGGGAGCCATGACTTGGAGGCCAGGCAAGGCCGTCATCCCAATGGGGACAAGTGCGAGTGATCTGCATTATCACCAGGACTTTGTGTAGCAGGGAGGGAGACTGTTGTGCCCTGGAGAAGCTTTGATAGGGGCAAAAGGCAGGCAGGCTGCAGATCGCGGAGGGGACAGGCAACTTTCTGCTCTGGGTAAGGGGAGCCCCTTAATGGAGCTCGGAGAAAAGGCCTGGAGGACACCCCCACCCACCCAGGGCACCTTTGGCCAGATCCTGGAGCCTCCCCTGCACATGCCTATCTAAGCGAGATGCAAGCGGCACCATCTGCAATGTAAAATGTGCTGATTGTATTTTAAGGATGAGATTTAGTTACCAGCTCAACTGAGATGGCGTCTAGGCAGGGTTCAGAACAAAGGGTAATGGTAAAATAATTGTTGCCTTTACCCCATGAGAAAAGCAATAAGAGAGAGGGAGGGAGAGAGAGTGTGTGTGTGAGAGAGAGAGAGAGAGAGGGGGGGGAGGAGGGGAGGGGGAGAGAGAGGAAGGGAGAAAGCGAGTGAGCAAGAGAGCGAGGGAGAGGGAGAGGGAGGGAGGGAGAGGAGGGGGGTGAGACAGGGAGACAGAGAAATAGAGGGAGAGAGAGAGAGAGAGAGAGAGCGCAGTTCAGAAGAGAGACTAGGACCCGTGACTCCGGGTGGGATGTCACCTACCGCCAGTGACGTGGTTGTGCTGTCTTCTCTGTCCCCAGAAAGGTCCTTCACCTGCAGATTCTTCAGTAAGAGGTGCAGGATTTGCACAGCCACCTTGGAGCTGGAAGCCATGGCTGTCCAGAGCTCATTGGCCTGCCTGGGAAATCAGCAACACGAGAGTGAAAGTTGCAAATAGGGAGGAGTCTCAGAGGAGAGGTGGAGCTTGTGAGGCGATGTAGGGCCCTACCTGTTGAGGGGTATGGAATAGGATAAGCAGCTTTGGATGACTTCCTCCAGGCGGCATGGGATCATCAAGGTTAGAGCCCTCAGCACTACCTTCCGGGTCCAGCAGGAAGCCTGACCTGGCTGCAAGCACATGTAGATGCCTGCAACTACATCGTTGACCTGCAGCCATAGAAGAAACATTGAGTTTAGCTGCCCCCCCCCAAAAAAGCTTGTAGATCTCTATGTTGGCTGCAAGGATCACAACATTGGGCCTCCCTGTGCTTGGGGAACCTAACCCATTTCTGCCTTCTTTTCATGGCGGGGTTAGTTGAGGGATGGACATTCTCTCATGCTGCACAGGACACAGGCTTGCTGGGACTCTTTGTTCACCATTAGTCAGTCCGGCAGCCTTTGGTGTCCTGCTCTACTTCAGAGGGCACCAGGTGGTTTACCACATTTGCAAAGAAGATGAAAACAAATGCAATGAAAACAATAAACAGGACCCAGAAGCACAGCAATCAAGGCTGCTTCAGCTTTTCCAGGCAGGCCAGTTGAGGAAGGAGTGACCACAAACAAGGTTGACTCAGCCTTCCATCTTTTCTAAGGTAGGTAAATTGAGGACCCAGTTTGTGGGGGCAATAAGCTGACTTTGTAAAAATATACAAAAGTATGAAGGCTATTGCTTAACGCATTGTAAGCTGCCCTGAGTCTCCGGAGAAGGGCGGCATATAAATCAAATTAAAAAAAAAACAAAAAACAATACCAGCATCTCCTTTATTGAGGGAGGGGCTTATAACAAACTCTCGAAAGGTTGGCAGGACTTCTCTTTCCCTCCCTCTGGTACCCAAGAAGGTCAAGGGAGCCTCTCAAGTTTCTTCCTTCCCCCATCCATCTTTCCAGGCTAAACTGATGCTTTTGTCATATTTTCTTCCAGACTCTCCCTGAATGCAGCTGCTTGGGTCACAGCCTAGAGGCACGAGCTTCTGTTGGGTTCCAGATGCAAAGCATGGGCAATTCACCTACCTGCTTCTTCACCAGCTGAGGGCTGTCCTGCCAGGATCACCCAGGGGATTATGCTGCGTGTTAACAGGGTGCCTACCCAAAGGTTGTTTGCTGCCATGGCTGCTCTGCCGGCCCACCCGCTTGGAATGTGCCACCAGTGGCATTGGAGAGCTAGGGCAGGGTAGAGGTGAGGGAGAAGCATAAGGAGGCCTCAGCCCTGGCAACTTCTAGTCTCTTTCTGCCCCTGACACCCCCCTTTACAGGTCCTGTGCTATGGCAGGATCTGGACCATCCCCAGGTGAGCTTCATTCTGGAGGAAGTGCTGATCCTGCCGTAGCATAGGGCCTGGGAACGCATTTCCTGTGACCTGAATCCTTTACAACTGAGCAGAGCCCAGGGCTGCTCAGAGTAGAAGAGTCCAGAAAGACAAGGACTTCTTTTTGTTCACCCAGGTGGTGGGAACAGTGTGAGATCAGACCTGCTTGGAGTCAGTCACGGTCGGAGAGGACTCTAAACTCAGAGCAAGCAACCAAGAAACAAATGCTGCATTTTAAGTAGCAGGAACAATCTGAGGGAGAGGATGGATGCTGCAGCTGGAACTCCTCACCCTTTCCACTTTCATCGCATGGTTCTGCAGAACTGCACTGAGGACCTCTTCTGCTGCCACCAGGACTTCTGGACCGGAGCCTCTCAAATAGTCCAGAACGGAGAGCAGGAGGTTGGTCAACTGAACGGAGAAGAGCTGGTCACCGCAATGCTACAAAGAGGAGCACAAGGTTTGGCAGGCATCCATCACATCCTTTTCCCCAAACGGACAGGGCCAGAGAGCCCCCAAGCAGCCCTGGGCCCTTCCTGGAGAGTTTCTTCTGCAAGAGATTCAGAAGGCTAGGCAGGAGAGGACAGGGAAGAGCCTGCAGGCTAAACGAGGCTTGAGATGGGTAAATCCAACCCTGACAAGATTTACAACTGGTTGTAGTGTAGTGTAGTGCAATTTGGGACCATTTCTGCCTATTTCCAGCAAAAGAACGCCCATTGGGGAAGCTGCTATTGCTTAATGAATGTGGTGATTCACTTAATGACTTCTGTACAAAGTGTCGTAAAATCAGGCCTGACTCAAATTATGACTGCAATGGATGGAAATTCTGGTCCCAATTGTGGTCATAAGTGGAGGACTAGTTCGCACCCCTTGAAGGCAGCCACAGTACCGTTGCTATCTGCCAACTGCTGCCCGGTGTTTGACCAGCAGGGCTGTCTTCTTCCTGGCATTTCACGCTCCTCTTCATTGGCCACTTCCGCTTCTTCTGCTTGCTTGTCCTCAGACCTAGAGCAGAAGAGAGTAGCTGTCGTTACAATCACGTATGTCGTTCAGGACTGGCCAGTTGGGTTCTTGGTGCTCCCTGAGCTCATCTCTTTCCTCCCAGAGCCCCAAAAGACCAGCTGTGGAATCTGCCTCACTCAGGTTCCCTCTGAGTAGCAGCAGCAGCAGCAGAGAAAGAGATGTCTAGTATGATAGGCCTCACCTTTACGGTGCAGTAAGATCTCATAGAGACAGCTGACTCCTTGCACGGCAAAAGAACTAATGCATGGCATCCGGTCATTGCACAGGCCAATCAAAAGGGCTGCCAGGTGGGCCAACTTGTTAAATTCCCGAGAGAGCTAAGAAACAACAGGGAGATGTGGGAATAATTGAGACTGAAGGGGGTCCTGGATGTTTCTTAGCCGACTCCTGTGTGAGGCCGATTTCTGCTCTTGTCAGACAAACTCGGAACCTTCCGAAAGTGCGTCCCACACACCTACCATGCACCATACTGAAAGTCTTTAGACAAGACTTCTGAGCTGTTGGGTTGGCAGGAGAAAAGCTAAAACCCCACGCCCACAGGTGGGCTTGGAGGGGAAGACTGGCACTGTAGCCTTCCTGAAATCAGGCTAGCCACTTTGCCTTCTTGATGGCACCACCTGGCAAACTTTCTAGGGGCACAATGGAGAGGCTGGGCTCAAAGGGCAAGATGACGTGTAGGATGGCATGAGTAACATCACTGCTCCGCCAGCTGCATCGGTTACCAGTCTGCTTCCAAGGTGTTGGTGATCCCCTTTAAAGCCCTTCATGGCATGGGTCCAGGTTACTTAAGGGACTGTCTCATCTCACTGGGGTTGGCCGGTCTCACTTGGGCCAGCAGAGAGGGCATGTTGTGGGTCCCATCAGCCTGATTGTTCTGGCTGGTGGGATCCAAGGAGGAGGGCCTTCTCTGTGGTGGCTCCTGCCCTCTGGAACATCTTGCTCCTCCATGTGAGGTTGGCCCCAACCCTCCTATCTTTTCCTAAGGGCCCAGACTGGAATGGCAGCTGATCTGCCTTCTCTGTCAAGACGGGTACCCTGCTGCTCTTTCAAGGAGTGACCCCTGCTTGTCAGAGCCAGTACCCGAATGGCCACTCCATTTATTTTATATGGCCACCTATCTGATATAACGATTCTAGGTGGCCCTCAAAAATCCACAAACGCACAGCTAAAACCGAAAGGGCCCTTCTCCCTAGGCCCCAGACCTTCCTGGCTAAAGCCCCATCCTAGTGCAATGATTGGGAAAGAGCCAGGTCTTCACAGCCCTCTAGAACAGTGGCCCCCAACCTTTTGGGCCCCAGGGACCAGATCTGTGGAGAGAGGTTTTTCCCAAGTCTGGAGGGGGCGTGGTTTCACGTGCTGCCTGCATCTCGTGGATGGGGCTTCGCTTGTTGGTGGGGACCGGTTACTGGTATGCCGCAGACCGGTGCAGGACTATGGACTGGGGACCCCTGCTCTGGAAGGCAGAATAGGGGTCCTGTGGATATGATGGTGTGGGCTGGGGCAGCCATGGGGAAGGCCACCTCTGAGGTCCCATCAAGTGGTAACTTTAAAAGGATGCCCACCTATCTAAGCTAGGCTTTTGTCCTTGTATCTGTGTCCTGTACCGTACTGAGGAAAACCCTGAGCCTCTTAAGGAGAGGAAGCTCCAATTAGGAAGGTAAGCGGCTCAATTTACGGATACTCACATCGAGGTGGAAGCGGTCAGCTACAAATTTCAAGAGCTTCATTGCTGTCTCCACAGCTCTCTCACGTACATGATCTAACTTTGATACCATCCATGGTTCTATGAGCTATCGAAGGAAAGGCAGGCACAAAAATGTTACATGAAGCATGCAGGACCAGCTCAAGAAAGAACAGGCCCTGGCTTAGAGGTACACATTTTGGGGGATGGCAAAATTGAAAAAAAGCTTCCAAAAAAACCAATAAAACCATTTTCATTTTTATTGCTTTACAAATATTTAACTTTTATAATTTTAATGTTGCTAATGCTGCAAGCTGCCCAGATTTGCTTCAAAACAAGATGGGCGCAAATAAATTTAATAAATAAATAAATTTTAAAAAACCAGAAAAGCATCAATGGTATATCCTTTTGAGAGCGGAATGTAATTTTGCATTGTAAATAAGGTGAACATTCCAAGAAAAAAATTTGTCCTGGGCTGAAAATCTTAAGAATAAAGCTCAAAAACCTGAAGAAAAAAAGAAACAAGAGGGTGTCTTTTTGAAATTGGCAACAAAACCAGAAGGTGCCAGAATATGATTGTGCTTTGGGTCCAACCTGCCTAGAGCTGGCCTTGGGATGCGCTTTGACTCCACGGAACTGGTAAGATAACGAGTGCCCGAAATATACCGGGTCCCCCCAAGGATTCTGGAGCTTGTATATCTTAGTGAGGCTATTCTGATGCAGGTATGAAGAATGTCACCAATAGCATTTCACTTTCCCGTGGTGTTCTGCAAATGAGGTTTGGTCAAATGCTAGTTCTTTCAAACATTGCAAAAATCCCGAGGTACTAATTAAAAAGTGAAGGGTGGTAAACACTTGACTAGACTCTCAAAGGCATTCTGCAAGGAGCAGGAACTCCTTCCCTCCTTCATACCCAAATCCTTGCCAGTGGCAGCCACTCAAAGTGGACACTGGACTGCTGAGATGCCTGCCTCCACGCCTGGCCAGCTGCTTGACACCTGCTCTTTGGACTCGAGGGAAGTGCCCTGACCTCCTTTCTGACAGTAAATTGCTAATACAAGAGGGCGGATTTCCTTAGAATGCCCTAAGAAGAATAGAGTTAAACCTGATTTCACAGATTTTATAGGCCCAATCTGGTTTTCTCTGGAGCGACTATTGGTCAGAAAACTCAGAGAAATGCCTCTTTCCTAATACCTCAGGAATCATTTAGTTCATCAGGTGGGGTGACCAGTGCCAGGAGGGGCAGAGGCAGCAGCCCCCTATTCTATACGGCTTAAAAAGGGACCCATAACTCTGTGCCGGTAGCAGTCGTTCCCACTGCCTGTGAGATTGGCAGATGGATTAACTGGCATCAATTTACGCAGCTGCCATCTCACTAAAATAACAGAGATGGAAAAAATACAATCTAAAAATACACACCCAGGCTAATGCAAACCAAGTGACTCCCGAAGAAATCTCCCCACACCTATGTCAAGAATGCTCTGAAGGGGCTCTGACCCCCTCGAGAGAGTTACCCTTCAGATGCCAGCTTTTCTCTCTGCCTACCTCCATCATGTGCTTGAGTTCGCTGGGCTGTGGGTTCTCCAACAGCAGAGCTTGCAGCATCTCCTCGAAGCAGCTGACAGTCTGCTGGTAGAAGGCCTGAGGCACAAGTGGGCCAGTGAGACTAAGGCCATGGGAACTGTCCCGGGTGGGCAAACAAGATGAATCGTGTGCAGGGGTACAACCCAAGGAAGCCTCCTGCACCCTGGAGAGCTCCTCGGAACAGAATCACTGGCAGCTGCAACCCCCTTTTTCCTACACATGAACAAACCCTTTGCTTTCACCCTTCTCTCCCTGCCAGGTCAATTCATTTATTCAGTCGAGACCAGGACTTTTCGTGAGTGAGGTTGCTCCCCATAATAGCAGGGAATAACTTGGGCACTGAGATGTTCAGACTGGGGCCAAGCAGCACCCAGCAAGTCCACGAGTCCTTGGGAAAAGACAGAGGGCACTCATCTCCCACACCCCAGAAATCATCGTCCTCCCATACAGTACTTAGCCAAAGGTATCTCCATAACCAACTCTGTTTTCCCCCTTTTTTCTGCTCTTCTGTACTTTTTGAAATAATTCTATGTAAAGTTGGAAAATAAATTTGGACGCTTATGCATAGATTTGCATCTTGTTAGGCCAGATTATCAAAGCAGAGTCATAACCTCTGTGGTAACTATCATCCAGAAATAAAAACTCAGTCTGGGAAATAAAGAGGGCTTGGATAAGATACTCAAAGGATTCACCTTTATATCCGATGTCTTCTCATCCACACAAGACTGCCTTTCCAGGATCTCCATTGGGGCCAGGCAAAAGACACTTTTGAAAGAAGCATGAAGGAGGCTGGATTTCTTCTCTGGCTCAAGAAGAGGCTTCAGGTGGCTGATGGAACGGAAACACACCTAAGATTTAGCTGCCACAAGAAATGATGAAACATGACTTTGCCCAATGGATTACAGCCTCGCTTTCAACTTCAAAATGAATAGAAAAACAATGTGTTTGAATCCTGAGTGTGTATAAGAGCCACACTCTCAGCTATGGAAACCCGGAATTCTTCACAGATGGGATTCTACCCTTTTGCCCTCCGCATGTTCTGAGAACGCATCAAGCCTCCCAGCAAGGGCTACTCTCCAGGAAGGGCTGCCCTCCCAAGAGTCTAAAGGCAGGATGACGAGAAAGAGAAAGATGGAGCGGAGCTGCTTCTCACCTGGACTCCACACTAATTCTCCTCTGCCTCATTTCAGTCACGTGCCCGGTCACGTTCCTCCCTGCTTACTGCCCCCATTTTCCCAGGTCTATTATTGGAAAATAATCTGAAGTACTTTGGACTCTCCCCCCCCTACCAAAAATTAGATTTCAACAGAAAATGGGGTCCGCACACTTTAAACTGCACCAGGGTTCACTTAGCAGGCAATTGCTCCTCAATTCATGGATGATTTATCATTATGGGAGGTCATCAATCTTGCATTGCATTTGCTCTATTTAATTCATGTCTTATATTTCAATGATTATGAAAAAAATGGATCAATTTATAATTTCACTGTTTTTTTCTGGCTTATTGCCAGCTTGTCCATTGCTTATGGAGATGCTCAGCCATCCCAGTTATGGTGGTCTTGAAAAAAGCACATTTGAGACAGCTTGTCCATTGTTGCCATGAACTGTAAATTGATTTTTCTTTTTTTCCCTACAATTTTGCTGGAGCAATTCAGGATAAAGGACATAAAAATGTCGTTCCTCTCCCCCTCCCACACAGTTGTGACCTCCTAGGTGAGGTGCTAAACTATATTTAGTCTCCTCAAAAGAAGCCATCGTGTTATTATGCAGGGTGCGCTTGAATGTACAGAATGGCCAAAATCGCTCCCCACCATCCCACCCTGCAGGAAGTGAGTACCCTGCTCCACTACCTGAGTTCTTTAGCGATATACATTGCATCTTGACGCACTGTGCTGCCCAGAACGTGGATGGGTTCCCTTTCTATCAGCACCTGCCAGCCAGTGTGGGAGAGACAGAACGAGAGAGTGAGAGTCAGCTGGAGAGGCCCACTCACCTGGGTGGCCTTCAAGGACCTGGAGACAAGCAGGGGACGGGGCCTCACTCTGAAGAACAACCGCTTCGTATTCCAGAGGGTAGGCACTTAGGGCCAAGGCCTTCATCAGGTGAGAGGTGCCCTTCTTTGCTGTCTCCCATCCAGCCACACACCTGTTGTCAATATGCATTCCTTGCCCAGGGGAAGACATACAGGAGTCTCCCAGTTTGGAATCTAACGAGTGGTGGGTTTCACTTATCTTTGCTACTGGTTCACTCGTGCGTGCTTGCTTCGCTCACACACGCACCACTTCTGCACATGTGCAGAATGTATTTGACGATGTCTGGGTGGGGGATGGGCGGAGCCTCCTGCCGCCGCTGCTACTGATTTGCCTGAACCGGGGCGAACCAGTAGCAACCCACCGCTGACTCTAACACTCTGCTTTGGTTCTAGGTTGCCTCCAATTGCACCCCCCCCCCATTTCCCCTCTCTCCCAGGCTAAAAATCCTGGGCTGAAAAAGTCAAGGTTTCCCCCACCTGTGATGCTGAGACTCTTTTCGTCCCTGAATGTCGGCTGCTTGAGCCCCCCCACTCCCCCAGTATCATGATGGCCAGAAGCTCATAAGGGACACACAACTTTTAAGCAGAAAGACCTTCTCACTGGCAGAGGTTGCTCATGCAGTTACTTCATTCCAGAAAAAAAGGTATCCTCCAGAGCTTCATCTTTGCAACAGTTTTGTAGTGTGGAACCCCATAGAACAATATTATTAAATCTTAAGAGTTACTATCTAAATGAGGTATCCATAAAAAGTAAAAATAAAGAATTGGATCAAACCCAAACGAGAAATAATGTTATTATAATGCAGTATAATGACCAAAGAAATTGAAAGGCCTTCCTTCTCTCCTGTGTTCTGCACATAAATAGGTAAGCGATATGATTTTAAACTATACTGGCAGATTCCTCAGAAATTACAGCTGAGGTACACCTGCAGACTGGCGCTAGGTTCCAAAGTACACCTGCCTGCCCAGACAGGCTAACAGGGATAACCCACCACCTCTGTAAGGTGAGTTAGGCTGAAATTATATCTCTATACTACTAAGACTCTTGTTTCTCTGTGTGTAACCTTTAAGTGGGCCAAATAATGCATTATAGAGCAACCATTTTTGAACCAAAGTACCTCAAATGGGCTAACTTAAAGAATGTGTCCAAAGTTCTGGAACCCATGAATGCCGTGGAATTGAAATTTTGCAAATTTTCTAAAACATTTTATAAAAATTATCATAAAACGCTTTTATGACATAATGCAAATTTCATTTCATGTTGTCAACTCCTGATGTTTGACTGTGCTATACAGTTCAATATGGATTACTTGCAACAACAACAACAAAAAAGATTTGCAACAAAAGTCAAAGATAACAAAAAAAATTTCTTTCAACATATAAATAACAAGAAAAAAGTCAAGGGAATAGTCGGTCAACTAAAGAGAGAAGATGGCAAGGAAGTAATAGGCAGTAGAGAGAAAGCAGAGTTGCTTAACCCATTCTTTGCATGTCTTCACACAAAAAGAAATTATAGCCCAACCTACCAAAAACATAACTGTAAAAGACAGACTAGAAATAAAAATTAAAATAAGCAAGAAAATGGTAAGAGAATATCTGTCTGACCTTGAATATAAATCACTGGGATCTGATGGATTATATCCCAGAGTTTTGAAGGAACTGGCAGATGTTATCTCAGAACCATTGTATCACATCTTTAAAAAATCTTGGAGCATCGAGGAATTACCAGAGGATTAGAAAAGAGCTGATGTGTTTCCCATCTTCAAAAAAGGAAAAAACAAAAACAAAACAGACCCAGGACGTCACAGACCAATCAGTCTAACATCAATACCTGGGAAGATACTGGAAAAAATAATAAAAAAACAGATCTGTGAACATCTAGAAACAAGTAAAGTTATAACTAGTAGCCAGCACAGGTTTGTTAAAACAAATTATGCCAAACCTATCTTATTTCATTCTTTGACAAAGTGACTAAACTAGTAGACCGGCAAAATTTTGTGGACAGTATATTTAAATGCAAGGCATTTGATAAAGTAAGTACTTTTTGGGAAGCTAGAAAAATATGGGATAGACAGCTTCACCACCAGATGGATTTGTAACTGGCTGACAAACTATCCTCAACGAGTAATCCTTAATGGTACTATGTCTACATGGAGGGAAGTAAGCAGTGGGGTACCACAAGATTCCGTCTTGGACCCAATACTCTTCAATATCTTCATAAATTACTTAGATGAGGGAATAGAAAGGGAACTCATCAAATTTGCAGACAACATTAAGGTGACAGAAATAGCCAACACCCCAGACAAGCTTAGGATCCAGAAAGATCTTGACAGACTTGAACAATGGGCTCTATCCAACAAAATGAAATTGAATGTGGAAATAAGCAAGGTTTTACACCTGGGCTCAAAAACAATAACTGTGAGAAGGATGTTGGGGTCCTACTGGACGATCACTTAAAAATGAGCCAGTAGTGTGTGGTGGCAGCCAAAAAAGCTAATACAATCTTTGGTTGCATAAACAGAGGTGTAGAATCAAAATCACGTGAAGTATTAGTACCACTTTATAAAGCCTTAGTAAGACCACATCTGGAATACTGTATCCAGTTTTGGTCACCATGTTACAAAAAAGATGTTGAGACTTTGGAAAAAGTGCAAAGAAGAGCAACTAAGATGATTAAAAACCTGGAGACTAAAACATAAGAACAGTTGTAGGATTTATGTTTGGCTAGCATAGAGAAAAGGAGGACTGGGGGGAACTGATAGCAATATTCCAGTATTTGAGAGGCTGCCACAAAGAGGAGGGGGTCATTATTATCCAAAGCATCAGAGGACAGGACAAGAATCAATGGATGAAAATGAATCAAGGAGAGAAGCAACCTGGAATTAAGGAGAAACCTCCTAACAGTGAGGACAATTAACCAGTGGAACAGCTTGCCAACAGAGGTCGTGGGAACTTCATCCCTGGAGGTTTTTATATGAGATTGGACAGCCACTTGTTTGAAATGGTGTAGCCAGAGATGGGTTTCAGCAGGTTCTGACCAGTTCTGGAGAACCGGTAGCGGAAATTTTAAGTAGCTTGGAGAACCAGTAAACTCTGACTGGCCCTGCCCCCATCTATTATCTGCCTCCCGAATCCCAGCTGATCAGGAGGAAATGGGGATTTTGCAGTAACCTTCCCCTGGAGTGGGGTGGGAATGGAGATTTTACAGTATCCTTCCCCTGCCACGCCCACCAAGCCATGCCATGCCCACCAAGACACACCCACAGAACCGGTAGTAAAAAAAATCTGAAACCCACCACTGGGTGTAGGGTCTCCTGCTTGAGCAGGAGGCTGGACTAGAAGACTCTAAGGTCCCTTCCAGCTCTATTCTGATTGACTTTCCAGATAGATGCGTCTCTGAGTTCCTCCCTGAATTTTTAAGAGCTTTTCCAGTACATTAGAAGCTCTGTCATTATTGAAAGTATTGAGAATTTGGTACAGAAATAGCTCTGAAACGATGACCCAGCGGGTCATGGGTTGTCTAATCTCTACTGTGCCTCCAGAAGTGTTGCCAACCCATTCCAAGATGAGTCAACCTTGAGTCCCATCAGGCTCAAACTTCAGGCTGTGGGCAGAGTCAGCCTGCAATACTGCATCCTAACCACTGCGCCATCATAAAGCTGCCTAGGGCAAATCCTGGGATTTTTCGGCAGGAAGTCAAGGCAGCCTACTTACTATTAGGCACTCTACCAAGCGTGCTTTCGGGTGCAACCTTATTGCTCCGGCTTTGCCCGTGGCTGTGATGGCTTCAAGGAGCATGAGCACTGCAATCAGAAAGCTCTTCTTCAGATTCAGGTCCTATAACCGAGAGCGGAAAATGGCTCAGATGTCATTGTGAAAAAGCCTGATTAGTGAACTACAGCAGTCCAGGATCTTCCAACTTGGCATCCTTCAAAAATGCAAGTGACTTCCCAGAAATGGTCCTGCTGGCTGGGGAACCCTGGAAGGCTAAACCACGTTGCACAAAAAGTGTTGGTCTTTTCCTCATTCTGTACAGGAACCTTGTGGATCTAAGGAGGAAACTGTGTTGGAGGAGTTGCCCCCCCCCAGCTCTGCATGGCTGTTTCATCAGGCTGACAAGAGGAAGGAGGAGGAGGAGGAGGAGGAGGAAGAGGAGGAGGAAGATTAATAGTAGGAGGTGGTGCTAGGTGTCTGCACTGGTCTCTTAGGCCTGTTTTCCCCACTTTATTTCTCTATTCTGGCCCCCAGAAAATGGGGATACCAAGTGGATTTTTCCTCCCATGGGCATGCCAGAACTGGGGGCTTCTGATGAAGCAGATGAAATGCCAGACATTATAAACAGGAAACTTTTCTCAGAACAAGAAAACAGACAAAACCAAAGTCTAGAAACCACTGGCCACCAAATGGCTGTGAGGTGCATCATCACTGCCCCACTCAGCTCCAGAACCTCTTGCTTGCCCAGCTGAGCTGGGCCGCTTTTTTCCCGGGTGAGCTCCCTTTCCCCACTGCCTTTCGAGCAAGGAGAAAGATTTGGTGACCAAAGCAGTTCCCTGGTTCAAAGCCTGAAAATGTACCGAGGGGTCGATAAGGAAGTACTCGATGAGCCTGGCGACGATGAACTCCACTCGTGGCAGGACTTCCTCCTTGATCCCCAGAGCCACTCGACCGTAGCAGAGCAGGAGTGTGTTCCGTTGGCAGAGCTGTAGGGAAGAAGGCCCAGCCATCCATCAGCTCCCCCAGATGAGTTCCCACCCTTCTTGTCAAGGGCAGCAGCCCAGGCGGTTGTGAGGCACGAGAACTGGTCCGGCCCAAGGGAACTGAGGACGGCCCACAGCAGATGCGGGGAGGGCAGAAGCCCCGGCCCCAGGAATGAACTCACCTTACGAAAACAAGGCTTCCGTACCCACATTTATATCCCACAACAAGCACTGTCAAAAAGAGGATTAATGATGTTCTGAGCATTGACTTGATGCTCTCTAACATTACCTGGCTGGTTTTGGACACGGGGATCTCTGCAGTGGAAAGAGTTCTGCCGAAACTGTCCAGCGCCTTGAAAACTTCATCCATGTGGCGAGAGGCAGCCAAGCCACAAGCAGCAGCAATGCCCTATGGAGGAAGAGCAGGAGGAGTGTGTGTATGTGGGGGGGAAGCGGCAGTTAGGAAGAGCTAAGCAGGAGCTCTGCTTCTCTCCGAGGGGTTTTGCTTTCCCAAGCAGGGAAGGTTTCAGGCAAGGCCCGTCTCCTCAGTGACTGGGCAGGCAGGGAGGTGCTGCTCTGCTTCCAGTTCATCAACTCCACTGGAAGACACAAGGTGGGATCCTGGGGCTTGTTCCAGCCAGCACAGGGCAATGAACTTGTGACCCCCTCGCAGTCCTTAGCAGATGGTGCCACAGTGTCCTGGGTCATCTGGTTATACCGTCTACTGGAACACCTCCAAAACTGCTAACCCAAGGAAACATGTAAAAATCTCCTTTGTTTTTTTGCATAGTGTCCCAGGAAATAATTATTCTGAAGAAAATATCTTGCTTGATAGGACTAGAAACCCCCCTCCCCCAAGATCTGCATGGCCCTAACCCTGCTATATTTTTTTTAGGAAAGTATTTACTTACTTACTTACTTACTTACTTACTTACTTACTTACTTACTTACTTACTTACTTACTTACTTATTTAACTGTTCAATTCACATTCATGACTCCAGGAAGCTTACAGTAAAATAAATCCAACACATAAAATACACAATATTAAAATAAAACATAGGAGCTGGGCATCATCCAACCAAATATTTATTTACTGTTTTTTAAAAAAAATTACAAACTGGTTTTTCCAGTATTATTTGTTTATTTATTTATTTTATTATACTTATATGCCACCCTTCTCCCAAAGGACTCGGGGCGGCTCACAAAAATTAAAATGATAAAAACAATAAAAATAACTACTAAAACAATCAATTAAAATCTTCCAATTAAAATCACCCATCAGATCAGCAAATTTGTTGAAAAAGCCATGTCTTCAGGTCACGGCGGAAAGAGCGGAGGTCGGGGGCCATCCGGAGCCCCGTGGGTAACCCATTCCAGAGGGTCGGTGCGCCCACAGAAAATGCCCTCATCCTGGGCGCCACCAGCCGACATTGTCTGGCCAATGGCACCTGGAGGAGGGCAGTCTAGCAGATCCTGGGCTGGGGTAATTTGTGCACGAGTGATATGATTTAAAAATTCTTTTTATATTTCCTGGAAGGATATGTTTTATTTGTTTCATTCTTTTTTTTTTATGACATTTTTAAAATTACATAGTCTTGAATAGTTTATGATTACCGTAGGTATCTTATAAATCAAATCAAATCAATCAGATCAGATCATAATAATTCAAGCTAAAAATGACCAGTTAAACAAGGAAGGATGGTATGATAATACCTATGAGTTTGGAAATGAATATTGTTTTAAGAGACACAAGACAGAGAGAGAAAGAAGGAGAGAGACTGAGAATAATGGTTATGTAGCTTCTATTCGTATTTTAAACAATCCAACAATCTTTCCAATCTACAGTTTTCATATGGAAGCGGAGAGTTTCATTTTCTGATTTTAAATGTAGCAGTTTGTCAATTTCTCTTAATGTGGTGGCATTTCTGGGTGAGTAATGGCAAACCGAAAGTGGAGCCAACCAGCCAGCCATCCTGGTGGAATCAAGAGGGATGGATAGACTGGCTGCTCATAACTCCTCTCCAAACCAGGAGGAGGCTTGAGATCACCCACCGGTGTTCCAAGTAGCCGCTCTCCATGAAGGGAGCACAAGACCATGATCTCCTGCAGGTTTACAGCTCTGGGAGACATTTTACTCAAACAGTGATCAGCATGTTTAAAAGGATCCTGGGTTCATTTACTACCTTTTCTAATTACTTTTGTAAAATTATTGACTGCTTTTCAGCTCTTAGGAACTTTTGGGTTAACAGGTTTTACAGCACCAGGTAAGTTTCATTCAATCCTCAGTGAAATAAGTTTAAATACAAGTCTAAGGCCTTTTTTTTCTGGAGTAAACAACAATATGGTGACTGATTTTAGCAAGTTACAAATGGACTAAGGGTCCAGATAAATTTAAAATAATACTTTGGAATTAATTACAAAGAAGCTTTTCTATGGGAAAATGCTATTGTTTTGAATTCTTTAAAAAAATAATAAGATTTTACAAACTGAACACTAGAGAGAACTAGAAAGAACTAAGGATTACAACTAAAGGAGAAGAATGGTCAAACTTGACATACTAATACAAAATGAAGCAAAATATTTTAACCTTTGATTTACTGTGGATATTTTTGAACAGAAGTTAATTTTAAGAATGTCTGCCTAAATAGATAGATTGAGGTAAGATAGATAAATAGATAGATCCTTCAGAGGCTATTCTGCGATAACCTCCTGAACTGTTTTCCTTCTCTCCAGCTTAGAGGCAGAAGGAGAATGAGGGACATAATTTGCCTACACACCAAGTAGTTGCCCTCTCACCTTTGCCTCCAGGGCTCCTCGCTGGCACATGGCCAAGAGGGTAAAGAGTTGGACCTGGATTAGCTGAGGGTCATCTGAGGCACGCAGGATGGCTCCACAGTACTGATATAGGAAGATCTGCATAAAGAAGGAATAGTTGTAGCTCTCCAAAACAACTGGATCAAATTTCACTCTGTGTGTGTGTGTGTGTGTGTGTGTGCGTGCGCACTCATGCGCGTGTGCACGCATGCATGCATATGGCGCCCCATATTATTCCAAATTCTGTTTGTGCTGTCATCTTCATTTATTTGTGGAACAATAAGGGCTTCTACTCCAATATCTCCAGCTGTTCCACACAAGCTTTTTCTTCTGTACCCAAAATGTTTGAGGGGCATTCAGACCAATGCAAAGGAAACAAGAATTATGATTTCCTTTGACCCCCACATCATTGTTGTTGCAGCCATTTCACTTTCCCCCTCTCTTTCGTAGCCCCATCACGTTGCTCTTTCCTAGAGCCTTTTTGCGTGTACTCCTGTCACACAGGTGATTTCCCCCACAACTTATGCTTTTGATTTTTCCTACTGAAATGGAGGACCATGTTGAAAAAACTCTTGCAGCTTACCCTGTATTGTAGCATTTTTGTCAAAACCCTTCTGAATCTTGATACCACTATTTAAAGTATTTGCCACACCCCTGCCCGCTTGTGCTGTGTTGTATGATTAGGTAATCGTATTTTCTAGCCTCCCCTGGGAACCTTTTATGATAGGGATGAGAAACACAGTTGAATGATATAGCACTTGAGCCAGTCCTTCAGTTTGTGACTTACCACGGAGGTACACTAATTGGAGATGTTAGTTCAGTCATACCTACATTCAGGCAATGGTAGCATAGTTCAGCCCACATTTTGACACCTCCTCTACTAGAACCATATGGAAGTCCTTATCCAGTCAACCTACACAATCTCTGCCAACTTTCCCCAATCAAATAAACTGCTCTTTGTCCAGCAATATCAAACTGGTTTAGTATGATTTCTTCCTGCTGAGCTCATTCTGGCTCCTTTTCTACCTGCTCACAGACTTCCAGCATAATAGTGAATCTGCATAATAGCAGAGATTTAAATAAGATGGTGGTGAAGTCAGATGGGAGAGGGGTTTTCGGCTGAGGGCTCCCACAGGGAGAGAGAGCCAAACCACTAAAGAGGCTGGCCTCTAACTCTTGGTGGGCAGGAGGGTGGCTGAGTGATACAAAAGGAAGGAGGGGACCCTACTCAGGACAGCCAAGAGGCTGAGGTTGGGGTGGATCCATATTCTGGGGAGCTCAGGGTGGATCGATACATTTGGGTGGTGACAGGCACAGGATGGCATGGGATGTTTCAATGGGAGACAGAGCCCAGTCCAGTGTTTAACTGTGCTCAGGTCCTCTGTGCTCAGGCTCAGGCCATGGTCATCAGGCCTCCAGGATGACTGCAGGATGACAAGAGGACCAGAAAGAGCACCAGAAAAGGATTTGGCTGCCTTTGTGGATCATAAGATGAACGTGAGCCACCAGGATCCTGCAGCTGCAAGAAAAACTAATGCCATCCTGGGCAGCTTGAATTCAAGTTTGCTTGAATTCTTGCCCGGATTGCTCACTCACCGAGTGGAGCAATCCGGGCAAGAAACAAAGGGTTTAAATGGCAAAGAAGCTGAAATCAGTGGGTCATGAGAAAGAACTTCTGAATAGAAGAATTTTGCCACAAAATTCGCCAGCCTCGGAGGTGGGCAAGCCTTCTTCCCTGGACAAAGAAGTTGCGTGGTCCATCTTGGGGGCTGCGAGAGGCTGGCTAGGTGACTGAAAGCCCATGTGGCCCTCCTCTCGCACAGGGGGCACCCCTGGATCTCCGTTCTATGGTTTTGAGATGGAAAACAAAGAAGCCTCCCCGCTCACCCTTTCAGGGCTTTGGGTGCTGCATTTCTGGTCCACTTTCCTCAGCTCTTGATTGAGCTCATCAAAGCAAGCTTTGTCGGTGACGTCAATTAAAAGTCGCTCTGCAAACTGTCAGCGGCACATGGAAGAAGTAGAGAGAGGGATATTCAGCTCAGCAGCCGGAGAGAAAGAGACCAGCATTTCCAGAGAGACAGAGAGGTGCCGGGGAAGATAGAGGACAGAGCGGCACCCTTTGTCATTGCCCCTTTCCTCCTCTGAGGCACTGCAGTTGCTTGACCTGCTAAGGTTACAGAGTGGGATGGAACGATACAATAAAATCATGGGTTTTGCTTTGCTTTGATACACAATTGCCAAAGCACATTTTGTTAGACTCTAACCTCCTCTGCCCTCCCCCCCAGCTATTTTCCTGCCTTCCCTCTTTGTGCCTTTTATAGGTTTTGTAAGTACCTAAAAGGATGTTAGTTGACCACAAGAAGCTAAAGCAGGAAGCAAGCATCTGACCACAACCGGTCACTGGGATGAATACTTGTGCAAGTGGAGAAGAGGAGCTTTAAAAGAAGGAGAGAGGAGGGAGCTCTTTTTATGAAGAAGTGGGCAAAGACCCAACAAAAAGAGAGTACCAAGATGTGGCACGTGCTTTCTCAGCCATGGCACACACCCCCACCCTTAGGGAACATCCTTCCCCCTGAAATTAGATCAGCCCCATCCCCTTTGACGCTCCAGAAGCCTCTGGAGACCTGGCTCTGTTCTCAGCCCCACCCTCCCTTGGCCCCAGGCAACAGGAGACTGCCTTAGAGGTGGCCGTATTTATGCTCTCTTTGCCTTTGGTTTGTATGCCTATTTTTATAATATTTATTTTTAATCTGAATTTTTATATTGACTGTTATTATAGCTTCTTGTTGTACATCTCCCAGAGTGGCTTTTGGTGAAATGGGCAGCTGTTTAAATTTGATTAATTAATAGATAGCAAGCTTTAGCGAAAGAAATGTGGTATAATTTTTAATTCTTATGGGCACAACTTCCTTCAAGAACAGGAAAGGTATTACTGGAGGGACATACAGGTGGAGTGGATTGATTAAGAGGTACCCTTAAAATACTTTGGACCCTAATGTGACAGAGGTTCTCCTGGTGAGGGATAAGACAAATAGAGGGCCTTGGGATCCATCCTGGCGGAGTCATTCCTCGTCGAGATATTCTCTGGGGCCATTTTGGCAAGATACCATCTGCCAAAGATGGGAAACCCAGAGTAGCCTTCCTGGGCATTGGGCTAAGTGACAAGCTCAGGGCATGGCTGTCCCAGGGAGCTATGTGAGCAGAGAAAAAGGAAAAGGCTACCGATAGGGTCTAAACTAAGACCAGCAGCAATAGCCACTGGAACAAGGACGGACCAGGATTTTTTACTCCAGAGGAAGGGAGGGAAGTGCTGAGAGGCAGCTGATCTTGTGGGAACCAGGTCACTCTAAGGATCCATTTACTGGGTTTTTCCTCTTTTTCTTATTCAGTGGTCAGCCTGAGAATTTAGGCAAAAGCACAATACTGATCATTTATTATTTATTTATTTATTTATTTGTTTCCATTTCTATACCGCCCTTCTCCAAATAGGACTCAGGGCGGTGAACAGCCAAAGTAAAAAGCACAGCATACAAAATTTAAAAAACAGTATTAAAATAATTAAATATTTTGGCTGTAAATTAAAACAACCCAATTTAAAATCAATTTAAAATTTAACTCAAGCCAGCCCAGCTAGTTGAAATAAATAGGTTTTCAGGGCCCGACGAAAAATCCGGAGGTCTGTTATTGTACGTAACTCTGGGGGGAGGTTGTTCCAGAGGGTGGGCGCCGTCACAGAGAAGGCTCTCCCCCTGGGGGTCGCCAGCCGACATTGTCTGGCGGGCGGCACCCTGAGGAGGCCCACTCTGTGCGAGAGTACTGGCCGGTGGGAGGCTATTGGTGGCAGAAGCCGGTCTCGTAAGTACCCCGGCCCTAAGCCATGGAGCGCTTTAAAGGTGGTCACCAACACCTTGAAGCGCACCCGGAAGACCACCGGGAGCCAGTGCAGCTCGCGCAGGAGAGGTGTCACATGGGAGCGCTTAATCATCTGCTTGAGCAGGGGGTTGGACTAGAAGATCTCTAAGGTCCCTTCCAAGTGTTATTCTGTTATAGCTGTTATATCTGCTTAACACCAAATATAATTTCCCAATGTCACTTTTCTGGAAAAACTGTCCAGCAGAATATTTACTGCATCCTGTTTCTAGGTATTCTTTTTCTTACTCCCCCCCCCATCTCTGTGCAGATGTACCTGAAGACTGGGTTTTAAAAGTTCAGCCTTGCAGCTGAAAAGCCTAGACCTTCTAAACAGACCAGGTTTCAAGGTAGAAGAGCTCTCACCTTACCTCCACCAGCTTTCGTTCCCATACGTCAATCTTCAAGGTGTCACTCTCTGTGAAAGCTGCGCGCAAGAGAGAAGGAATCACTGAGGAGGACCAGAGGGTCCTGGAGCATCGGCCGGGCCCTGAAGAGGCGGCACCATGAAGACAAGACTCTGTGTGGAAGCTTTGAGCATTAACACTCTGGTGCTGTGGGGCAGCGGCCATTTTGGCAGCCTCCTTTTCTGGACTCTGGACACAGAGGACCTGGGCCTTGCCTGTTATGAACTGGACCAATCCCACTCTGGTCCCTGCTTGGGAAGGTGAGGAATAAGGATTGGGCTGACGGCCATAGGCAAAGGCAGTGCGGGGGGGGGGGGGGGGGGAGGGGCAACTGGGGTTAATTGCCCCTTTCAGGTGCCAAATGTGGGGGGGAGGCAGATCTTGCCACTTGGTCTGGTGAGGGCAAAAAGTCTGTTCTTCTTTTCCCTTGGATACCTGGATGAGAATGGGGGGCTGGGGGGCAATGTGGATGGGGCTTAAACATGGAGTGGGAGGAGGCTCCATCCCCCATGTTATAGATGCTGAATGTTAGGGAGAAGTACCCAAGTGCTAGGTTTAATTAGTAATATTTGATTTCTGTCTACATTGGAAATAAAAAGGTTATGTTGGGGTTCTTTGATATGGGAAAGGGAGGGTGAAGGCTGGGTGAGAAGGGGGAGGGGATAGGCAGCTGTATCAGAAAGGTGATGGAAATCACTCCGTCCAGATGGAGATGGCAGGAAGCAGGAGTGGCTGCTCTTGGGGAAACCACCACTGAGTGTCTGGCACTGACATCCTCCGCTCAGGCCCAGTGACCCAAGTCTTTGTTACTGGTCTAATTGTTAAGGCCAGAAATTGGGAGACGGTGAGTTCTAGTCCTGCCTTAGCATTAAGACCTTGGGCCAGTCACTTTCTCCTGGTAAACCAGTTCTGAAAACCCTCACCATGAAAACTGTAGGCAAGCAGTCTCTGAGAATCGGACATGATTGAAGGGAGGGGAAAAATACAGGGTAGTCTGTAATAATTCTCATCTCATCCACGCCTTAATCTTGCATGAGAGGGCTGACCTGGTATGCATTGCTGAAATCCAGCTGGGCATAAGGGAGAGTTCTGCTCCTGGTTTTTCAGTATTGCAGCTGTCACAGTTTTGGAGCAGGATGAAGTGGGGTTATCTGGGAACCCACAGTGACCTTCAGGGGTGCTGCTGTGGGCATAACTGTACGTGGAACTATATCTGGGAAGTTGGACTCTAGGGATCAGATGGAATCACTGCTAAAATACCAGCCTGCCTGATATTCTTGACTCTGTGCCCACATTGCCAGGGCAGTCCCGAGAAGGGTGGTCCGGGGAGGCCTGCTTCTCTGAAATCAGAGAACTGGCTTTTCTGGATCCTTTTCTTATTTGGATTCAGGTGTTGTAATAGTACTGAGATGTCATAGGAACACCTTTATGGGGCCTCCTCCTTAACTCTTTATGGGGAAGCTCCCCCCCGCCCCCAGTATGGATGAGCACTCTGAAGGTCTTTGCACAAATCCATCATGCCTGGACTAGGATATGTTGATGGTCATTCATGCCTTGGTCACTTCCCTGTTGGATCATTGCAATGTGTTGTACTTAAGGCTGCACACAAAAAGTGTTTGGAAGCTTCAGCTAGTGCAGAATGCAGCAGCATGTGTAATATTGCAGCACCAAAATTTGCCTAGATTGCATTGTTGTTGCATGAACAGCACTGACTCAGCATGCTGGTCCCATATGCTTCCAGGTGCATTTTAAGGTGCCACTTATCATCCTTAAAAGCCATGGTGGCACAGTGGTGAGAATGCAATACTGCAGTTAATTCTGTTTACTGCCGGTTGCCAGCAGTTTGGCAGTTCAATTCTCAAGGTTGACTCAGCCTTCCATCATTCTGAGATTGGTAAAATGAGGATCCAGATTGTTGGGGGCAATAGGTTGACTCTGTAAACCTCTTAGAAAGGGCTGTAAAGCGCTGTGAAGCAGTATATAAATCTAAGTGCTATTGCTATTAAGCCCTTGTAGAACCCGGGACCAGGTTACCCTGCAGGACTCTATGTCTCTTTCTGTCTCTTCCACCGCATACTTTGGAAGGCCAGGGGGTGTGCCTTCTCTGTGGTGATGCCGGCCTCTGCCACCCAGAGATCTGCACGGCCACAACACTTTCTGGAAGGGTGCCTTTTCCACCAGGAATTAGGATCAGAATATTAGTGGACCCAGATATGTGTGCTTTTGTGCTCTGAGCTGGTTGTATGCTGCTTAAAATTATTGTATCATCATTATTGCTTTTTCATTGTACTTTTGTTTTTCTTTGTTTATGGGGGATTTGTAATGGTGGGGTTTGTTTGGGGGAGATGTACAATATTGGTTGTTAGCTACCCAGAGTTATTTGGTAAGATAGGTGGCCACATACATTTTCTAAATAAACAAAACAGATAAGAAGCTCTGTTGGACTGCATTAGAGTTAGGGTATCGCTATATTTTGTTCCCTCCCTCTGCTTTTGGGGCCCAGAGTTGTTCCTGGAGAGGTTCTGAATTCAGGCTGTTTCAGTTTTTCTTGGGGCACCCCTTTACTCCAAAAGATAGGAACACTCTTTGGATCAAGGCCAACTTACTTTCAATGATTCAGAAACAAAGCTAAAAAGCCTGTGGGAGGAAAAAGAGATGATACCTTTGTTTGCCAGTTTCCCCAACACACAGAGGATGCTGCGATATGGAATCAGCCTCCCTTGGAACCCCTCCAGGAGCTTGGTGAGGACCTCGGCTGGGAAATGGCTCCAGAGGGCCACCAGGATATCACCCGCTGCGTCCTGATACAAGTCCTGAAGATCCTGTAGCAGGAAAGGGGGCCAGAAATAAGGGCCTTCTCTTCTCTCTCTCTCTCCCCCCCAGCAATGGCTTCACATGGAAAATACACACCACAGTTTTCTTATTGCTTTATTCTTCAAATAGCAATCACACTTAGACTTATATACCGCTTCACAGTGCTTTACAGCCCTCTCTAAGCGGTTTACAGAGTCAGACTCTTGCCCCCAACAATCTAGGTCCTCATTTGACCGACCACGGAAGGATGGACGGCTGAGTCAACCTTGAGTCTGGTGAGATTCGAACTGCTGGCAATTGGCAGAATTAGCCTGCAATGCCGCATTCTAACTACTGTGCCACAATCCTTTTTTTAAAAGAATGAGGCTTCGGTAGAAGCTTTGTATCGGAGGTTTTATGACTTTCCTCCAAAGGAAGGACAGGAGACTGTCCAATAATGAAAAGTTCTCAAGCTTACAATATAACTTGAAACCATCAAATGTGAAAATAAGATAGTACAAATTAAGTTGCAACACAGTATAAAAGCAGAATTGTATTCAAAGAAAACTGGGAGTCAGTGTAGCTCACACAACAATGCTGGACATGGGCAAATGGAAGGGTGCATGAGCTGGAGCATTTTAGACCAATTGTAACTTCTGTGTGGTCTTCAAGGGCAGCTCCAGGTAGAGTGTGTTGCATGGAAAGCAACCAAAGAGAGAGTGACTGAGAGCAAGGTCTCCTGGTCCAGGAAAGGGAGCAATTGGCCCATAAGGCAAATCCACCCTCCAGCCATGGCTGCACCTGCCCTTTGAGCAGGAATCCAGGAACCAAACAACCCAAACCATTCCGTCTTGCCAGGATTGAATCAAGGTGAATTCCTCGCCATCCAAACCTTTGCAGGCCCCACACGTCCAGTCAGCATTACAAGAGCACCCCTGTCCAGCCAGGGATGGAGATGTATAACTGGGTATTGTCAGCACACTGGTGGTACTGCCACTCAAGCTGGCAAATTACCTCACCTGCTGGTTTCATGTCAATGTTAAAAAGGAGAACCGTGGCAACTGAGCAATTCTACATGGCAGGTAGCCCTGAGGAATCCCACATGGCCTCTATCCTTCCTCAGCACCAACTGAAATTAACCGTGGAGAAAGGAGGGGCCTCCCACTCCCAATCCCCAAAATTGGTTCAGAAGATCACCATGGTTGCTGGTATTGAAAGCTGCTAAGAGATGCAGGACGGCATGGAATCCTGCACACACACACACACACACGCACACACACACACACACACACACACACACACACACAAGTCTCTCTTCCGGTCATCCACAAGCACAACAGATGCAGTCACATGATCAGCCAGACTAAAATTAGAGAATTGTAAGGATCATTAAAAGTCTTTAATCCAACTCTCTAACCGGTGCAGGATCTACTAGATGAGGGGTGTCCGGGGGCCGGTTCCGGCCCGCAGGGTGCTTAGACCTGGCCCACGGGGCTGCCCTGGAGATAGTGAAGGACTGGCCCATGATGCCTCTGCCAGCAAAAACAGCTCGGGAGGGCCGCACACGACTTCTGAAGCTCCGTTTTCGCTGTTAGAGGGTTGCAGGAGGCTGTCACAGCCAAAACCGGAGCTCGCAAGGACCTCATGCGGCTCTCCTGAGCTCTGTTTTTGCTGGCAGAGGGTTGCTGAAGACCGTCGCAGCCAAAAACGGAGCTTGGGAGCCCGTTTTTGCTAGCAGAGCCCTTGGGCCACCAGAAGCGCCCCTGACATGAATGACGTTGCCCACCCTGGCCACGTCCACCCCAGCCTCCTGAGGTCAAACACAACCCTGATGCGGCCCTCAACGAAATCGAGTTTGACACCCCTGTACTAGATCTTTGACAGATAATCACCCAGACCTTGTTCAAAGAGCCCCAGTAATGAAGGAGCCACTATTAGATGCCGCTGCCTCTTTCATTGGCTGGCAGCTTGTATAGTCAGGAAGTTCCTCTTGCATCTAGTCTGAAATACCTTCTTCATACTTTTAACTCATTCCTTTTGGTTCTGCCCTCTTCTGTGTGACAAACATTTTGATAAGTGATAGAATCAATGGTTTGACTTGAAGGTCTTCTAATCCAAGTCCTTGCCCAGTACAGTAACACTCATACCATTCTGGACAAATGGCTGTCCAGTCTCTTCTTGAAAACCTCCAGTGATGGAGCACCCACAACTTCAGAAGGGAGACTATTTCATTGCTTAATAGCTCCACAGTCAGGGAATTCCTCAAGGTCAAATTTGGATCTGTCATGATAAAGCTTCCACCCACTGGTTCTTGTCTTATCCTCAGGTGGCAAGGAGAATGAATCTCCCCTTAATCTTCTCCATCTTGATTAAGATGGAGCTCCTGTTTTCACAGAACCAACTGTGACCTACGCAACTATGCACATTCCATGAATTCTTGGGGACCCACATACTTAGGCTTTCCTGTAATGGTTGGGTTAGATCTTCCTCTGGCTGCGAGCAGCCCAAAGGCTGAAAGTTCTACCCAAAGGGAAGTGGGGAGGAAAGGGTGTTCTTTGGTCACATTGGTCCTTACTGTGGTTCTTAGCATATCTTCAGCAGCCAGCTTGATGATCACTTTGGCTAATTTGTGGTCTATGTGACTGGCAGATCTGATCACAGCTTGCAGGATTTGGTTGATACGCAGCCGGTGTTTTGGAGAGATCTGCAGAAATACAAAAGAAAAACCAATATAGTGTTTGAAGTCTGAAATTATGAGAACATGAGAAACATCTTAGGAGTGCTTCCGTCATGCAGGTTATGGTTGCCCCAAAGGTGCTTTTTCCAAAAGGCAACTGGACTTTCTTGATTTTTTTTCCTTTGAAAACGTTTGTAAACAGTTCTGAAGAAGCTTCTTGGATGAGAAGTGAAATGTTTTCAAAGGAAAAAAATCCAGTCTAGATGCCTTTTGGAAAAAAAAGAACTTTTGGGTTGAGAAATATGATTTATTTCCAGTTGAATATGCCAACTAATCATCTATTTTCTATTATAAATGTTATGTCATATAATATGCCTTATTTTAATTGTGATGCTTCTGACACGAGTAAAAAATGCCACTATTCAGTTTCTCTTACCATTAAGAAGTTTCTCAGAAACACCTTTTGCTTTCCCCTAGATGATGGGGGAAACAGTATTGGAAAAGGAGGGATATGGCTGCCACCCCCAATCTTCTGGAACTCCTCCTCCTCTCTCAAGAATCCTGGTCATGACATTCCCATGGGTCTGGGTCTCCACTACTGACGCTGGAGTCCAGCTTTCAGCAGAGATATTTATTTATTTATTTATTGGTTCGATTTATATGCCGCCCTTCTCCGGAGACTCAGGGCAGCTTACAATGCGCTAAGCAATAGCCTTCATACTTTTGTATATACCTGCTTAGTAGGGCTTTCGGCACCCCCTAAGCGGTGTTCTTTTTATACAAAGTCAGGTTATTGCCCCCACAATCCGGGTCCTCATTTTACCTACCTCGGGAGGATGGAAGGCTGAGTCAACCTTGAGCCTGGTGAGATTTGAACTTGCAGTAATTGCAGGCAGCTGGCAGCTAAGTGCTTCTTTAACAGCACTTTAGTCCGCTGCGCCACCAAGGCTCTTGATGATAATGGCTGGGGAATTTGTGGCCAGTTCCAGTGCCCCTGTTTTTGAACTGAGATGTCCTGACAACACTGACTTTCAGTTCTCCTTGCTCATATTCAGAGTACTATAACACATCCTACTAAGGCTGCCTTTGAAGATGGCCCAGGAGATTAAGTTGCTCCAAAAGGAGGTCGCAGGTTCAGCAGAATTACACCTAATTTGAGGTGTTCTGAGCACTTTGAAGACCGTCTACCTTATGGATGCTATGGCGATATTTGCAAATGGCCCGCAAGACTCCAGCCAGTTTAGTCTCTGCCAAGATGCATAAATTGTTGGTGGACTCTTGCACTTGGGAAGGACCATTTTCTTCTCGGAGATTCCTCAAGTTGCAAAAGCAGACCTGCGATTCTGGTAAACAGAAAAAAAAGGGGGTCAGCAACAGTCTTTGATATTCTGATCCTGCACGGCTCATCTAATATCTTTTTAAAGGGAGAGCAATTTTTACATCTTAAGTTCAATGCATTCCACAGAAATGAAGAAAATATTTTTCCACGCCAGGCATAATTTTGTACTCTTCTCTAATTCACTTTTTAATGCTACTCTTCCTCCAGCCCGGTGAATCTCTTCTGTAGGTATGTGGGCTTCAACCCTGAACATTCTCAGTTATTGCCATATTGGTTGGGGAATGCCAGAAGCTAAGGATGATTCTTGTTGTCACCTCTCTTGGGAAGTTTTTCCAGCCTCTGAGACATTTCACTAAATCTTGTCTGGGTTTTCTTCAGCATTATCCAATCTTTCTGACAGTTCCCAGAATGACACAATTTTCCAGCACCAGAAGTAGAGACTTACCAGTCCCAACAAACCTGCCTGAGATCTAAGAATAGCACTTGTGGATCTGTTCTACCGGCTAGAGCCATAGACAGGAGACTGATACTGTAAATACTAGGAAATAAGATGTTATTTTGGGGGTTCCAGCAAGAATCTGACCATCTACCGTATCTGCAGCAACAGTCAATGAGTTTACATGCTGCTCTTAGTGTGGATTTAGGTCTAAGGCAAAGTTGATCACCATTTTCATTCAGCTCTTCCTCTGGGGTGTCTGCCTTTTCTTTCTGCCAGGGACAGTCTTTGCTTGAATTGCAGGTCTCCTCCCTCAAAGGGTGAGTGCGGACCCTGTTCTTCTGATGGCCCACTCTCTTGAAAACTGAGCAGATCCTAGAACAAAGTTGAGAAATAAAATGTTTTCTCCTCCAAGTAAGAACATTTTATATTAGGTGACTCAGCATACTTTCCTTATATTTCCATTATAAATTGCCTGGCAGTCCTGCAGCATATGTTTTTATTAATTAATTAATTATTGTTGTTGTTATCATTATCATCATCGTTGTTGTTGATTGCACAGTCATCTGAATGTTCAGACTGGATTTGGCAATAACACCTGCCTACTGAGTCCTTTCCAAGGACTTGAGATAGGCAGATGTTGATGTTTGAAGGAGTTAGCGGGGTCACAGTAAAGCTGCCTTTTGCAATTGACTGATGTGAATTTGTTAATGCCGGTAGTGTTCAAGTGGATCTAGGACAACCCGCCATGGCCAATTCACCACGGGGCAACTCGCCGTGGGACAAGAGTTGCACTAATATTGAAGAAATGGTGGAATAGAATAATTAAAGAAAGGATGCCAAAGGAGGGACAAAATGAAACGTGAATGACAAAAATTAGAATATTTTTAAAATTATTTAAAATAATTAAATAGAGTTATTAAATTGTCCCTTGGTGAATTGTCCCATGGCAAATTGGTTGTGGTGAGTTGGCAGTGGTGAATTGTCCCATTCCATGTTCAAGCAGTGCTCCAGTTGTTTTGGGATTCTTATTATTATGTTATGGTTATTACGGTCATTTCAAATATATGCCGAAAAGCCTAAAAACTGTTGGAAAATTACCATAGCCAGAAGCATAGCCAGCTGAACAAACAGGCTGAAAAATAGCTTTTATCCATGGGCCGTCAGACCTCTGAACGCAACATAACACCACAATTAGGTTTAATATGATAGACTTGCAGGGCCAGGGCAACGAGCAACATGTTCATACCGATGTAATACAATATCATGTTACATACATATAGGTATACGGGAATGTGTTTTAGTTATTACTTATTTGAGTTTAGGGATCCTATTTCTTTCATTTATTGAGTTATTGAGATGTATTTTGTGTTTTTTTTTGGGGGGGACCGCACCAAGGGAGGCTCATTCAATTTCATTATACACATGTTGTGCATTGACAATAAAGGTTTGATTTGATTTGATTTGACCAGCCAAGCAAGGATGAGGGATCAAGTGGGCAATTAGCCTTGAGTCCTTGTGCAGCTGCAAGAGCCTTAGGACTGCCCCCTCCCAAATTTCCTTGGAACCTTAGTTTGTTCCCAAGGCAAGACAAACAATCTGTGTTATACAATAAAGAATACAATAAAGTATTCAGCTTGAACCCTCAGGTGTAGGTATGATTGCTTGTGCCTAGAGGAAACTGAACGGTCTACTCTATTCCTGTGAATTATAAATGTATATGATTTTGTGTATTCTGTCTGGATATATTAGGTTATAAGCAATGATTAAAGTAGTTATGAAGTAGAAATGTATCATAGGACCATAAAGTTGGAAGGAATTGAAGTCCTTCTAGTCTAATCTCGCTCAATTATTTGTATTTATTTTATTTTATTTTATTTATTTTCAATCTCACTTTTATAATTTTTTTATAAATAAGCCAGTGAACATATCCATCACACTTTCCTCCTCCTATTTTCCCCACAACCACCCTGTGAAATGGGTTGGGCTGAGAGAGAGAGGGCTTGCATGGCTAGCTAAGGTGGGACTTACAGCTAGAAAGCAATCACTTTAAAAAACGGTTCCACGAAAACTGTAGGGACTTATCTAGGCAGTCACCAGGCATCAAGATGGACTCAAAGATAATATATATTATATTTATATATAATGAAATGCCTTTGAGTCAGTGTTGACTCCTGCAGTTTTGTGGAAACGGTTTGCCAAGACACCCAACCGGCTTTGTGCCTAAGGCAGGAATAGAACTCACAAGACTCCTGCTTTTTTTTCCTTTTTTTAAAGTTTTTTTTAATTTTATAAACAAACAAACAAACAATACATAATCAATCAGAAGACAAAAGATGTCTTCTTTCTGCTTTTCCAATATTTATCATATCTTAATATTATCATTTCCTTTATTATAACATTTCCCCCACTTTTCTTACTTCTCTATTAATACATTTATGAATAATACATTTATTTATTAAACTATCTTTTAATTTTATTAAGAATTAGACAACCATTTTATCCCCACACAACCTTCAACCCCCCCTTCTCCACCCCCACTCCCGACTTCCCAGAGCAAAAACAGGGTATAGCATTAGACAAACATAAGCTAAAATATACTAACTTACTACAAGATTCAAAAACCCCTCACACTCTTTAACTCCTCTTTTAAAAATTGTTCATCAGCCTCCCCTTTTAAAATTCTAATTTAAACATTATAAAACTTTCTTTAAAGCATATCTTTTAAGAAGAAGAAAAATATTATTTTATATCCATTCAATTTTAAATTAACCATTTTAATACTTCAGTAAGTTTTTTTTTAAAACACTTCAATAGAATATTCTTCAAAATATAACCTTAAAAATACTATTAATCCATTGAGTTAAATTATTTCTAACTCTTGAGTTCATCCTTCAAAATATCTGTTTCAAAACTTTCAGAAAGTTATCAATTAAGTTTAAAATTAACCATTTTAATACCTTGATAATTTTTTAAAAAGCCATCCATTTTTAGTTAAACATTTTTATTTTAAACTTAAAAAATACTAATTTCAGTAGACTTTTCAAATTTAATATTAAAATCCTCCCCAAAAGAAACTAATCTTCAATTCTTCCTTTCTTTCTATATTTTAGTAAGTTTTTTTTAAAAAAACTTCAATAGAATATTTTCACAATATAACCTTAAAAAAAGTATTAATCCATTGAGTTAAATTATTTCTAACTCTTGAGTTCATCCTTCAAAATATCTGTTTCAAAACTTTCAGAAAGTTATCAATTAAGTTTAAAGTTAACCATTTTAATACCTTGATAATTTTTTAAAAAGCTATCCATTTTTAGTTAAACATTTTTACTTAAACTTAAAAAATACTAATTTCAATCGACTTCAAATTTAGTATTAAAATCCGCCCCAAAAGAAACTAATCTTCAATTCTTCCTTTCTATATTTTTTCCAGTCCTTCTTCTGCAATAGTACTTTCTTCAACATTGCTCCTCCCCCTGCTTTTATTTTTGAAAATTTTTGAATATAGATTTGAGGCTGATGCATCTTTGGAAATTGTTCTCTTCTAAAAGTTATCTCCTTCAATTCAAAACCTCCATTTCGACTCTTCCTGCTTATATAATCAGTCACTTCCTTCCTTGAAACAGTCTGCGGGAAAGAGTCTATTTGCTGCTTTCCAGTTAACTGCATAGAAGCTTCTGCCAAAACCTCTGTTTTCAGTGTGCCAACTTCCATCGTGATCCTGACAGCTTCTTTTCCCTGCTCCAAAGTCGAAATAAGTTGATTTTCTTCCTCTTTTCCAGCCAGCAAAACATGGTTGTTCTCCAGATTATAATTTTGAATAGTCCTTTCAATTGATTCCAATATAGCAGAAGTATAGAAATTTAAAAGTTCTTGTAAAACCTTTACAGTCATAACTTGTGAATTTGCTGGCTCATATAGTAATGATCCTCCATCCTTGATGTCAGCCATAGTTCAATTTCCACTTTAAATTTATTCAGCTATCAGGTCAATAAATCCAATAATTTTCACACAATTTAGAAGTATAAAGTAGTTAGAGTCAATACCATAGTCTTTTTCATTTCACTAGCACTTTAAATCCTTTTTCTTACCAGGTAATCCAGTAGCTTTTACAATGTTGCAGCTTTAACGATCACTTTCACTTATAAGTTTCATTTTGCCGCCCTTAAGCGCCATCTTTTTTTCTTTGTTTTAAACGGAGTTAAAGTTTAATACTTGCATTTTCTGTTCTCCTGATTTTGCTCTGCCAGCATCCAGATTCAAATTTTCTCATAATCCTTAAAATTGCACTGCTGGTGTGGTTGCGACCCCTTGTTCTGCATAAAGCAGAATCGTCCCGGATCCGGAGCACCGAAGGGCTTTCAGGGAGCTCTCACCCTGCAAGCCCCAAGCTTAAAAAAAAGGCTGGGGGTCTAGGGGAGCTCTACCCAGACCCTTCTGCTCTTCTCTCCCCCTTTTTCCCTGGGGGAGAGTTTCAAGCTGCTAGAACAGCTGATTTTCGCTGTTCTAGCGGCAAACGGAATCACGGGGCTGGAGCTCCTGAAGGAGCATCTGTTCGGGGAACGCGGAGCCACCGGAAGTCCAAGACTCCTGCTTTTTAACCCCTACCCCAACCCAGCTCTAGAAAGAGTGCAGAGAAGAGTAACCAAGATGATTAGGTGACTGGACACCAAAACATATAAAGAACAATTGCAGTAACTGGGTACGTCTAGTTTAATGGAAAGAAGGAGTAGGAGGGACACGATAGCAGTCTTCCAGTATTTGAGGGGCTGCCACAAAGGAGAGGGGATCAACCAATTCTCCAAAGCACCCGAAGGCAGGACAAGAAGCAATGGATGGAAAGTAATCAAGGAGAGAAACAACCAGAAATTAAGAGAAATTCCTGACAGTGAGAACAATGAATCAATGGAACGACTTGTGTCCAGAAGTTGTGGGTGTTCCATTGGAGGTTTTTAAGAAGAGATTGCACAACCACTTGTCTGAAATGACATAGGTCCGTGATGGCGAACCACAGGTGGCGCTTGGAGCCATATTGGTGGGCATGCAAGTGTTGTCCTAGCTCAGCTCCAGCGTGCATGCACATGCCAACCAGCTGATTTTTGGACCTTCTGGGCCCACCGTAAGTCAGGAAACAGGTTGTTTCTGGCCTCTGGAGGGCCTCTGGGGAGGGTGGGGAAGGCTGTTTTCACCCTCACCAGGCTCCAAGAAAACCTCTGGAGCCTGGGGAGGGCGAAAAACAGGCCTACCAGGCCCACCATGCCATCACTGGCCTAGGGCGGGGGTGGTGGTGGTGGTCACGTATGCATGCAGGGGGGTGCATTGAATTATGGGTATGGGCACGCACACGTGACCCCCCCCAACTCCCCACGCTTTTGGCACGTGATGGCAAAAAGGTTAGCCATCACTGACATAGGGTCTCCTATAACAACCTATAGAGGGTTGGAATGGAAGATCTCCAAGGTCCCTTCCAACTCTGTTGTTCCGTTATACTGTTATTCTGTTACTACACCAAACTGGATCTCATGTGGCAGCTAAGTATTTTATTTGCTGCCCATCAGATGTTCAGGAAAAATCCTTTGCTTCCCTGAAACCCATCATATACCCTTAATCAGCTGGGGTGGGCTGATCTAATAGGCCCAAGCTCCCTGGGGTGGGGAGTAGGGGGAATCACCAGCAAGCCCAAAAGCAATCAGAGAGCGATCCAGCCATGATAGATCACGGTACCGTCCCTCAGATTACATTGCAAATGCCCTGAGACAAAAACCAGAGCGAAAGTGAGATAAGTGGAATGCTCTGTCAGACAAAAGAAAATATTATTAGCAAGAGTATAGATCAGCTTGGTAGAAATAATTGATAAATTTTCTTTCACATCCCAAATTCTGATTGCCTGAAAAATTGGCAGATTATTCAACCCTCAGAATAAGAAGCTTAACTTAACTCAACCAAACCCTAACTCAATCACTTAAATGTGAGGCTGCTGATTGACAGCAACCCTTGTCAGGGAAAGACAGGCGATTTGTAGCTAGGCCGCGAAATTTGGGAGTCAGCCAGCCTCCAGGATCAAGAGCAGTCTAACTCAGGGAGCTGTTTTCTTTCCTGTCGGTCCACTTTCCTTCTTCATTCTCCTGGCTATGTATGGCAAGACCCCAGTCGGCAAACTGAAGTTCCTCATCGCATAAACCAGAAGGCAAGAGAAGAAGGGAGAAAGTTTGCTGGAAGCCCCTGGGAATCAGATGAGGCAGCAGCAGGGAAGGGAAGAACTGATGAGAAACTGAAGCTATGCTGTCTTTGTTTCATTGCCTGAGAAAGAAACAACTTCAGAGGAGCTGACTATAAGCAAGGGTAAGGATTTTCTTTTCCCAAATCAACCAATTACCGTTTAATAACTATAGTTACTTGCTAGTAAGGCAAACAAGATGATACGTATAACCAACCTGGTAAAAGCGGACGTAAATTTTGTCTTTCCCAAGAGAGACATCCCGTGATCCCAGAGCAATAAAACAGCTTCAAAGCACTCTCAGTTGAGGTAAAAAAAACATTTCCCGTACAGTATCTTCCCTCCTTTTAAAGGAGCAGACCTCCCGCATTCTAGAAAGTACTCCCGCTGCTGGGCCCCGGCCCTCCCAACCCACTCTTGCCTTCTCTCCTACCTTCTACAGAGAGTCATGTTCTCTGGCAAATTTTGTCATCTGCCTTAACCCAGCTGACATCTCCCAGATCTCTGAGGGCAACTCAGTTCTCCAACTCCCTCCAATGTACTCTAGGTCATATGTGACATCACAATTGCAGACTGCATTCATCCCAGGCAGGGCCAGCGATGGAAGTGTGGAAGTGGCCCTGAAGGCAGCGGCTGCATCTGACCAATCCTGCCCACAAAGCTAGTCAGATGCTTTCCCGTTCTTCAGAAAACCAAGGAAATTTCTGTCCTTGACGGTCTTAGGCATAATTCTTTTCATTCATTCCACACCCCAGGAAAATTTTTTACCACTATTACCAATCAAAGAAGTGAAAGTAGCAAAAGGAAAATCCAAAGAAAATTTAGATCCTTACTCCTTACATAAATAAGGAAATTTTTCCTTCATGGGTAAAAAATTTAGTCAAAGCAGTTTCTGAAACAACAAAAAAATTAACAGAGCAAGTGCAAAATGCCCCTATGGAGATTCTCTGTCACGCAGGTCATGAAAAAGTAAAAAAAAAGGCAACTGGACTTTGTTATTTCCTTGAGGACATTCTCATCCAAGAAGCATCTTCAGTCCTCCGGTAGTTCCCCTATGCTACTTGAGGTTTGAAAGAAACTTGGTGGGATGAAACCCATGAATGCTGAGATATATATAAGAAATTACTACATCTCTACAGAAAGACAGCAGAATAATGATGAAAACCATCTTGAATGCATTTGGGTCAATATAAATGGGGGAGAATGACATCGCCACGGTGTATACTACAGGCCGCCAATCAAACAGAGGAAATAGATGAATTTTTTGCTAGTCAGTTAACTAAGATATGTGGGAAGCACATCAGAATAGTAGCGGGGGACTTTAACTACCCCGACATCAAACTTGAGACAAACTCTCCACCAAGCGGAAGTTCCAGCAGGTTCCTGACAAAGTTAGCAGACAACTTTGGCTCCCAAAAAGTAGAGAAGAGAACTGGGGGATCAGCCATATTCGATTTAATTCGCAATTAGTTCAAGAGGAAACGATAGAAGATTGAAGTTACAGGAACCAAGGTGGGGGGGGGGGGGAAACGATCATGCAATATTGGAATTCAACATTATGCAAGCACAAGCAATAGAACAAAGTCAAACTGTCTCGGACTTTAAAAGAGCTGATTTCAATAAACTTAGAGAGAGCTTGGGAGGGTCTTTGAGGAGTCTGCGGATGAGACTCCTCAAGGGGAAAACAATCCAAGAAGGCCATGAAACTTTGTAAAGCGAGATTATAAAAGCCATTCTATGTTCAATTCCAACAAAGAAGAAAAATAAGAGATTTTATAAGAAACCAGCACAGCTGCACAAAAAAGTTTTGATAAATTGAAAGACAAAAAGGACAAGTATAAAAAGCGGAAAGAGGGACACATAGTAACTAAGAATATCAGTAAATAGCCTGGGACTGCAAATATGAAGTCAGGAAAACTAAGGTTCCAAACGAATTAAGGCTTGCAACAAAAGTCAGAAATAACAAAAAAAAGAAATTTATTCAATCGAGGGCATTTGCTGATGGTCCTCTTATATTTCCGTAAAATGCAAAAAATAACAGAACATTTGTTGTGGAAATTAAAAGAGTTTGGGAATTTAGAGGGTTTGAAAATAAACAAAGAGAAAACAATAATATCGATTAAGAACATGTCATCACAGGACGGCAATACATTGAGTAAAAAGTTGGGTTTTAAGGTCAAGAAAAAGGTAAAATACCTTGTTTTAGGGTCAGGGTCAGGGTCAGGGTCAGGGTCTAGGGTCTAGGGTCTAGGGTCTAGGGTCTAGGGTGAGGGTGAGGGTTAGGGTTAGGGTTTAGGGTTTAGGGTTTAGGGTTTAGGGTTTAGGGTTTAGGGTTTAGGGTGAGGGTGAGGGTGAGGGTGAGGGTGAGGGTTAGGGTTAGGGTTAGGGTGAGGGTGAGGGTGAGACTCAACCCTTCCAAGACTGAGTGGCTGTGGATGCCGGCATCCCGGGATCTGGACGTTCCATCTTTAGCGATCGGGGGAGAGACCCTTACTCCCTCCGATAGGGTCCGCAAGTTGGGGGTCCTCCTGGATTCTCGGCTGTCCTTGGATGATCCTCTGACGGCCGTAACCAGGGGGGCCTTCGCACAGGTGCGTCTTGTGCGCCAATTGCACCCTTTTCTAGACCGGGATGCCCTCGCCACGGTCACTCACGCCCTCGTTACCTCTAGGTTGGACTACTGTAACACCCTCTACACGGGGCTGCCCTTGGGATGCGTCCGGAGGCTCCAGCTAATCCAGAACGCAGCCGTGCGGGTAATTACGGGGGCTTCTCGATACTCCCGTGTAACACCTCTCCTGCGTGAGCCGCACTGGCTGCCGGTGGCGTTCCGGATTCGTTTCAAAGTGCTGGCGCTTACCTATAAAGCCCTTCACGGCTTAGGCCCAGGGTACTTACAGGACCATCTCCTGCCGCTCTCCCATCGTCCCGTGTGCTCTCACACAGTGGGCCTCCTCAGGGTGCCGTCGGCCAAACAATGTCGGCTGACGGCCCCCAGGATTAGAGCATTCTCTGTGGGAGCCCGGACCGTCTGGAACGGATTGCCCACCGTGCTCAGGACAGCCCCCGACCTCTTTTCCTTCCATCGCGAGCCGAAGACGTGGCTCTTCCGTCAACTCAACCGATCCGTTTGGGTGTACACTGTTATAATTTTAAACTGTTTTAATTGGGGTGCTGATTTTAATTTATTTTGTTGTGATTTGTATCTGAAATTGTCATTTTGTAAGCCGCCTTGAGTCCCTCGGGAGAGGGATAATAAATAAATAAAATAAATTATATTACAGCAGCGTTGTGCTGGCCCTGCAAGTCTATAGTACTAAATAGTTACGGTGTTCTATCGTAGACGGAAGGAGGTCATCCGTCGTCGTTCCACCTTGTTTTTCCGCAAGATCCTGAGGAAACGGAGTCTCCGTTGAGCCTTCTCGACTACCCGGAGCATATTATTTTTCCAGGCGAGATCTTCACTAAGATGGAGTCCCAGGAATTTGAAAGAGGAGACCCTCTTCTCCACACAGCCTACCACCACGATAAAGTAATATCTCGATAGCTTCAAAGCTATTGCTAAGGGACAAAAAACATCACCCTCCTGTGGCCCAAGCAGATATAGCAGCCACAAAAAAAAACACCTTTTTAATAGCATTCAAAGATTATTTATTTATTTATTTATTTATTAGATTTTTATACCGCCCCCTGATTAAAAGCCTTATTAATATTAATAGAGCAACGTGAGGCCCAGGAGCTACAGAACAGGCACAAAAGAAAGAATCCTGCTTCAAAAGCCTTAACCTGAGGTCCAAAGGTCTACAACGGCCTCCACGCTAAGGTTGACAGAAAAGAGCGCCATCGTGCGGTCCAAGCAGGGATCGCAGCAACCAAAAGAAAGAAACTTTTTAAATGGAATTTTAGGGTTGTTATTCTTTATTATTAAAACTTTATTAATATCAATAGGCCATCACAGGCCTCCTTAACTCCGGTTAAGGCTTTTGAAGCGAGATTTCTTTTCCAGTTCCCGTGTTGCAGCAAAGGGGCCTCCCGTCGCTTTAATAAATATTAATAAGACGTTAACAATAAAGATACAGGATAATAACCTCAAAATCCCATTAAAAGGGTTTCTTTTTCCAGCCACAGTACCCGTTTTGGCCACACGAGGGCACTGTTTTCCGTCCCATGAGTTCAAAGTTATCGCTCAGGTGCAGAAAATTGTGCCATCCTGCGGTCAAAGCAGGTATCGCAGCCACAAAAAGAAAGAAACCTTTTCGATGGCATTTTAAGATTCTTCCGTGCCAGGTCCGCAACCCTGGAGAAAACAGTGCCCTCCTGTGGTCCAAGAAGGAATAGCAGGCAGAAAAAGCACGGTCGCCGATTTTTTCAGTACCAGCGCCTCTCGGAGCGACCTTTCCAGCGTCAGCGCAACTTTCCGTCCGTCTCCTGTGCAACCCCCATCGCCGTTGGTAAAAAACGACCTTTCAACTTTCATTTTTCATTTTTACTTTTTAAGGGCTGCTCTGGGTAAACCTTTACCTTTACTCCAACGTTTCTTCTCCCCTTCTCTTCCTTCCTCTCTCTCCTCCTCCTTCCTTTGTTCTTCCTAAGGGCCCAAGCAGGGATCGCAGCAACCCAAAGAAAGAACCTTTTTAAATGGAGTTTTAGGGTTGTTATTCTTTAATATTAAAACTTTATTAATATCAATAGGCCATCACAGGCCTCCTTAACTCCGGTTAAGGCTTTTGAAGGGGATTTCTTTTCCAGTTCCTGTGTTGCAGCAAACGGGCCTCCCGTCGCTTTAATAAATATTAATAAGACGTTAACAATAAAGATACAGGATAATAACCTTAAAATGCCATTAAAAGGGTTTCTTTTTGCAGCCGCAGTACCCGTTTTGGCCACAGGAGGGCACAGTTTTCCGTCCCATGACTTGAAAATGTTATGGCTAAGGTGCAGAAAATTGTGCCGTCCTGTGGTCAAAATAGGTATCGCAGCCACAAAAAGAAAGAAACTTTTTAAATGGAGTTTTAGGGTTGTTATGCTATTCCTTCTTGGACCACAGGAGGGCACTGTTTTCTCCAGGATTGCGGAGCCGGCACAGAAGAATCTTAAAATGCCATCGAAAAGGTTTATTTATTTTTGCGGCCGCGATACCTGTTTTGGCCACACGAGGGCACAGTTTTCCGTCCCGTGACTTGAAAGTTATGGCTAA